CCTGTGCCTGATAAGCCAGGGTGATGGCATCCACAATCCAGTGGGCCATCCTCTGCTTAGAGATGGCTTTCCCCTTCTGCCGGCCTCCGTAACAGACAAAGAGCTGGTCTGAGGTCCTAAAGCTTTGTGTCTGGTCTACGTACCATCTCAAGGCTTGGACGGGACAAAGCAAAGCTAGGGCAGGGTCTGCCTCCTCTGGGGGCAGCGCTTGCAGGTTCACTACCTGATCCCTGAAGGGGGTAGTAGGAACCTTGGGCACATAGCTGGGCCGGGGCCTCAGGATTACCTGGGAGTCAGCCGGCCCAAACTCTAGGCACGAATCGTCAACCGAAATGTGTGCAGGTCCCCTACCCTCTTGATGGAGGCCAGTGCAAGCAGGAGCAGAGTTTTCATTGATAGAAACTTCAGCTCAACTGACTACAAAGGCCCAAATGGGCCGTGCTGTAGTGTTTTGAGCACTAGAGACAGGTCCCAAGAGGGTACAGAGGGGGGCCGGGGAGGATTTAACCTTCTCTCCCCCCTAAGGAACCTAATGACCAGGTCATGCTTCCCTACCGATTTCCCTTCCACGGTGTCATGGTTAGCAGCAATCGCAGCGACATAGACTTTAAGGGTAGAGGGAGACAGCCTTCTCTTCAACCCTTGCTGCAAAAAGGAAAGCACGACCCTGATCGGGCATCTCCGGGGGTCTTCTCGGCGAGAAGAACACCACTCGACGAGAAGAACACCACTCAAAGAACAGGTTCCACTTCAAGGTAAAACCTCGGGACCACCAGATTCTCCACCCGACCCTCCACTGGGGGAGGGAGAGGTGCATTCACCATCCCCCAACGAGCAGTTCCCTCTCTCTCTGGGTCGCCCGTCCCGGGGCCTCTTGCTCTTCCGCTCACCGCCAGGTTTGACGGGGGCCTGGACAGGCGGGGAGGCCTGCATACGCCCAGCTCTACGGCGCCGCTTGCTCAAAGTTGCTGTGGATGCGGTGCGGGAGTGGGGGTGGACGCACGGGGCAGCCCTCGGCGATGAGCAGGCTGGGGTGCTGAGGCCGGTGGACGGGTGGAGGCAGTAGCTGGACATGTCGGATTGCCTCAGTCTGCTCCTTTGCAGCCAAGAACTGCTGGGCCACATTCTCGACTGCGTCACCGAAGAGGCCGGTCTGGGACACAGGAACCTTGAGGAACCGAACTTGTCGGCGTCCCTCATGTCGCCCAGACACAGCCAGAGATGGCGCCCCTGGACCACAAGTGTGGACATCGCACGACCAGAGAACTCGCAGTGACCTTCATTGCTCGGAGCGCGAGGTCAGTTGCAGTTCAGAGCTCTTTCAGAACTTCATTCTCCACCCGGCCCTCCTCTGGGGGTGGGAGAGGTGCATTCACCATCCCCCAAAGAGCAGTTCCCTCTCTCTCTGGGTCGCCCCTCCCGAGGCCTCTTGCTCCAGCCTGCCTACACCCAGCTCCACGGTGCCGCTTGCTTGAGGCTGCTACGGATGTAGCACGGGAGCGGGGGTGGACGCAGGGGGCCGCCTTCGCCGACGAGCAGGCTGGGCCACTGCAGCCGGTGGACGGGCGGAGGCAGCAGCTACCCGCCGGGGCAGAACTTCGGATTGCCTCAGTCTGTTCCTGCACAGCCGAGAACTGCTGGGCCATGTTCTCGACTGTGTCGCCGAAAAGGTCGGTCTGGGACACAGGGACCTTAAGGAATTGAACTTTGTCGGCGTCCCTCATGTCGACCAGACACAACCAGAGGTGACGCTCCTGGACCACAAGTGTGGACATCACACGACCCTGAGAACTCGCAGTGACCTTCGTCGCTCGGAGCGCGAGATCAGTTGCGGTTCGGAGCTCTTTTAGAACTTCCGGATCGTGACCACCCTCGTGCAGGTCCCTCAGTGCTTTAGCCTGAAGAACCTGCAGTAACGCCATAGTGTGTAAGGCGGAGGCAGCTTCTCCACAGGCCACATAAGCATCGCTGGAAAGACCAGACAAGTACCTACAGACCCGGGAGGGGAGGTACGGTTTGCCCTGCCGGGTGGAGGTGGTATCAGGACACAACTGCATTGCAACCGACCGCTCCACCAGGGGGACCCCCGTATACCTCCTAGCTGCACCACCATTGAGAGTGGTGAGGGAGGAGGAGTTAGCAGGTCGTTTTCCGGCAGAAAAGGGTGCCTTCCACGACCTGGTAAGCCCCCTCATGCACCTCCGGGAAGAATGGCACCGGGGCGCAGCGGGCCACCCCGAAGAACCAATCGTCCAACCTTGAGGGCTCGGGACATGATGGAGATTTCCACTCAAGCCCTACCCACACGGCGGCCTGAGAAAGTATAGCCGTCATTTCTGGATCCGATTCAGGCATTGCTACAGTTCCAGAAGGCAGCAGAGCAGCCGAATCTTCCTCTCCAGAAAGCTCCGGCTCACCCAGCGATCGACATCCGATCATCGGGAGGAGCGCCGAAGGATACTGCTGGTATGCTCCTTGTAGAGGGCCCAACACATTCCTTTGGCAGCTCAGTTGGTTGCGGAGTGCAAGAGGAGCGATGGTCCCCCGAGGGTTGGTTCCCTGGAGGGTTTGCCATCACTGTTACCCTCAGACCACCTGTGCTACTGCCTGAAGTAGCCCCCACCTGACTGCCGCCATGACGAGAACTAGATTGAGGCAGAGGCAATGGAGCTCCGCCCCTTTTGAGGTAACTGAGCTGGGCCCGCAACTCCGAGATGGTCATCTTCCCACAATGAGAACATGACTCATCCACGAACGCCACATCAGCGTGCTTAATGCCCAGACATGTGAGGCAGCGATCGTGACCATCATCCAACACCAGGTAATGACCACATCCAGAAACGCACAGGTGATACGTTGTCTGTAGCAAGACGCAACGTCAAGTTTGCCAGATGCAACACTTTGTAGCTGCATTTTGCACAAAGAGCACTGTCACTGCTTCTTCCCTCTTTAATTCATTCAAACTCTTTCTTGCCAAATCACAATTGTGCAGCAATCTGTCACCTCAGCTATTTTCATGTTTTTTTTGTTTTTTTTTTTCATTTCTCACATTGTCCTTTTGTCCTCCTCTGCTTACCGTAGGGCAACCACATAGATCTCTGCAGCAGCACCAGCAGTCTGCCTACAGCCAGACTACAAAATGGACGGGTCTGTCCCTCTCACAATCCCTAACAATCCCTCTTTATATCTTTCTTTAGAATTAGTTCTGTTCTTCATTGTTTTATTGTATAATCCTTTCTTCATTTTGACTGCTCCTCCTTCCTCAGTCATCTCACAGGAACATTTATTTTCAAACAAATGTCAGCAGATCACAACAGTGGGGTTCTAGATGTGAAAATCCTATTCAAAATTGTAATTATTTATTCTGATTTTAGCTAAATAAATAATAAACAAAAAACAAACAAACAAATAAATAAATAAATTATTTTAATTACTGTATATTCTTAAATACTACATTACCAACAATAGCACCGTGAAATCCACCAATCAGAGAAGTAATTGTTACTGAAACTAGCACTGCATCTTAGGGTGCAGCGACATTAGCAACATTTCAGTGAAATTTCGTAGATAAAACGGGGCAAATTCTCAAATACAGCTGTGAAAATTTGCGAAACAACAGTAAATGTGGCCTTAAATAAATAGAACTCATAATTACAATTAGTGAATCTCAAATCATAGCATGTTGAACATTGTTAAATGTGGCTAGATGATATTCTATTTCTGGTGAATTTTTGTATAATATTTTTATTTTTAATGAATGTAGCTAAATGCTAATACTTTCATGCAAATTCAAATTTTACCAAATTTTTCAAATATTTTAAAATGCAGACTGATTTGATTATAACATTCTCAATATTGTATAGGATGTTAGTACACAGTACACAGTTTAAAAATTTCAATCAAATATTGTACTGTTGTGATTCATCTGGGAGCTGATTTATTTGGTTTAAGGGTTAAAATTCTGTAGTGTAGAAATTTTTAAATGGCTATTGAAAATAGAAATGGAAAATGGAATGAATGGGAAAAAAAATACTTCCAAGGCACCTGCAACAGTGAGCTGTCATTATTGTAGTCTATACAAACTTGTTTTAAAATGTTGTGCTTTACTGGTGTGAATCCCATCAGTCAAAGCACAACATTTTAAAACAAGTTTGTATAGACTACAGAATTTTAACCCTTAAACCAAATAAATCAGCTTGTTGTAACATATATATATATATATATATATATATATATATATATATATAGGAGAGAGATTATTTATTTTACTTGAAGAATGTGTAGTATTGAAATGCAATGTTATGAGCATATATATTTCTTCCTCCTCTCTGTTTGTTTTTAGCCCTCTGCGCTTTTTAGTGAAACCCCCTGTTCAAGAAGTCACAGGGTTTGTTTCCAGTTGTCATCTGCATGCAGCCTTACATGCAGATTGTTTGTTCACATGTTTCATTTTGGTGAATACATGGCACATATATGAATGATCATAAATATATAGTTCATCCAAAAATTACAATTATGTTGTCATTGAAACCATATGACCTTTTTTTGTGTGTGGAATAAAAAAGGAGATATCTAGCAGAATATTCAAGCTGTTCTTTTCTATACAATGAAAGTGAATGAAGAACACGGCTGTCCCTTGTCTCCATTCTTTCCATTTTGAAAAATAAATGCGCTTAACTATATTGAATGTGCTCTTGTGGTGTACCTCATATCTTAATAGTTGAATAAAAAAAAAATTAACTGCAGATAATATTAATGAAATAAAAGACCACTTTCATTACTGTTTCTTAACACAGTTGAGTACACTTTTAAAAGGTGCACTTTGTAACATGAAAATTGCCATTATTACAATGTTTTACTTTAAAGTACAATCATCATGTTTTAATAATATTTTTTCATGCTCTAAAGTACACTTATGCTTTAAAGTACACTAACATATTAAAGCATGTAATGTAAAGTAATTGATTAGAATTTTAACTGTAGCATGATAGTCAATGTTACATTTAAAGTTCAAATATTTAAAAATCTAAATGACAGCTTATAATAAATTTATTAAAATGCAATTAACAAGAAAACATTTTGTTACAATGACTTTCATTGTAGAAAACAGCTGCTTGGACATTCTGCTTGATATCTCTATTTCTAGCTTTATGTTTGGAACACCTTTAGAGCTAAATGGTAACAGAATTATTTTTTTTTGGTTAAACTATCTTATTTAGGGACATGTGTTGTCTGTGTTCAATCCCTCGTGCAACCTGCATGCAGTTTAGTAACCTGATACACAGAATTTCTTTGGTTACACATGTGTTGTCAAGTCTCTTAATCAGACATCTAACACAGCAGTCAGTTCTTTGTTTAGTAATGCCAAAAGTGCTCAGAGTACATCAGAGTGCATTAAGTTTGATGGCTAATGTGTTAACGTTCTGTAAAAATGCAAAGAAGCTTTCTTTTGTTTGTTGTGTTACCCGTGGTTATGTCTGAGAGATATCGAGTGTGTGAGGTGAATGTAGTATGGTGAGGTGTTCTGTTCTGTCTGCAGGGGTCACTGCATGAAGAGAGCTCATACTCTGCCACTAGGCGTTTCAGTGGCTCCAGCGCTAGAGGCGTAAGGCCCGATCTTACCTATCTCTCTGACCGCGGCATGACCTGACACCCAATGCCAGTCTGGGCTTGTTGAGCGTCTTGCATGGTTCTGTTTTCAGACCACAGGCTTGACTAGGTGTTTATTGTGTTTATGTCATGAGGTTTCTCTGAGGAAAGTTTGGGAGCCCCCATTTTACTGTTTTCCCCTAGTAATGAGAGTGGGACTGGTGGTGTATGTACTGTATGTAAAGCATGTTTAATCATCTTGGATTAAATTTATTTCTGTCTTTTGTGTGGTCAAAGTATGGTCGTTTACTAGTCAGACTGACTGACTCTCCTTCACACAGAAACCCGCTAATGCTGTGTGTATGTCAATGTGTTTTGACCTACAGAATGGGCATGGCTTTACACTACTGATCAAAAGATTTTTTGAAATAAACTTATTTTTTCCAGCAAGGATGGATTACATTGATCAAAAGTGACAGTAAAGACATTGATAAGGCTGAAGAAGTGTTCCGTTTAAAAAAAACAAAACCTTTTAACCTTCTGTTTATCATCAAAATCCTGAAAAAATTTATAACAGTTTCCACAAAAACTATTAAGCAGCACAACTGTTTTCAACATTGATAATAATATGAAATGTTACTTGAGCACCTAATCAGCATGTTACAACAATTTCTGAAGGATGATGCTGCTGAAAATTCAACCATCACAGGAATAAATTACATTTTACAATATATTCAATTGTAATAATATTTTACATATTTCTGTTTTTACTGTATCTTTTGATCAAGTCTTGTTGAGCATCACCAAGTAACTTTATTCAAAAACATTTAAAAAATCGTACTAACCCCAGACTTTTGAATGGTAGTGTATATGGTATAGTGTCATTTCTAAAACTTCTTTATACTTGTCAGTTCCAATAATTTTTTTCTTATGCTTTCTTCCTGCTAACATCTACTCGTCATTCAATTTTTCTCTATATCTGCATTCTGGTCAGCCTTCAGACTACAATGGCTTTCTGGGCTCCAGTTCCAGGGCCTCATCTAGGGCGAGTTCAGCCCGTGCCAGTCCAGTGGTGAGCTTCCCTTTCCTATATCTGACCAAGGTTAAGTTCTACATTTTCAAAGTCACGTCTGCCATCTGTGTTGCAAAAACTATCCTGCACTCTTGCTCCTCTGCATATCCTGTTCCTCACACTATCATCAGTATCATGTGGAATTAGCATCAATCTTGTTTGTGCCATGCTCCCTCTAGTGGATAAAAATGGAACAAAATATGGCCCAGTATTGTTTTAGATCCTAAATATATCTGGGTGGTTTTTCAATGTAACTTCTACTGAACACATTTAATTTTTTAAATAGGTGGAGGAAAGGTCAGATTTCCTGGAAAAGGTCAGTAGGATTATTTTTAGGATGCAAAAACACACATCACAGTAGATAAAACCACAACAAAGTGATCCACCAAACCAAGTAAGCATTTAAACTACATCCTCAGGGGTCCAGGACAGCCTCCACCCTCTCTGCTGCAACTCTGGCATCTCTGGGTGGAGGTTTATCACGAAGAGGAAGCTGTGATACCTCGATTTCAGCTGACACTGAGGCCTCCATACGGGAAATGAAGGTAATTTTGAAGGTTTATTCATAATACTGTATCATAATGGCCATGATCTGTATGTAATTTCCTCATTTTCGTTTGTTTACTCTCAGGACTCCCTGGTGGAGGTGGAGGAGAAGTACCGTAAGGCAATGGTGTCCAATGCTCAGCTGGACAATGAGAAGACAAACCTAATGTATCAGGTGGACACACTGAGAGACACTCTGATGGAGCTGGAGGAACTTCTGTGTGAGACACGCAGAGAGTGTGAGGAGAAAACCAGAGTAAGGACTGTCAAGTGGTGAAATCACTTAAAAAAGGAAAATCCTATAGAATAATTGACCCTTTTACAAATACATTTTTATTTTTCTTAAAAAAAATTGTTATAGTCATCATCCAAAATTTAGAGTATATTAAAAAATTTGATTAATTATTGAAAAAATTAAATCAAAACTTTTCACAAAAACAGTTATGGTGAGTCAAAATTCCTTGATGCACAGGGATCATTTTGACCCCCTTTTGTTGATAAAATACTCCAAAAATCACAATTCGACCTGGTTTGTGCATTCTAGCGTTAAGACTAATCATAACTGAACTATGTGGCAGCTCAACTATGTGGTAAGTTTTATGTTATGGTATGAAAAAACAGTATTTCATAAACAGTTGGGGGGGTTCAATACTAACTTGCTTAGCAGAGGAGGGCACACAAAGATATAAACAATCAATATACACATAGAAGTAATGTGAGCATCACACAAGGATAGGTAGACTGTTAATATACTAGAAATAATCTGAACTGCACACAGTCATAAAGATGATCATTATGAAGTCAAGAGTATGTCCTTTACTTCTAAGAAATCGTAGAATGACAACTGTTCAAATAACTGTGAAAGTGAGTACTAATGATTAGGAATTCAAACTAAATTTTTTAGTGCAATCAAATTCATCAATTACGGGTATTTTTTTCATTCTAATTTTTGTTAGGACTTAGAGCGAGAGCGTCATGCCCACAATGTCCTGAAGTTCCAGTTTGAGGAGATGAAGGAAACACTGAGGCAGAGTGAAGAGTTGCTGACGGTGAGCATCTCCAGTAAATGACAGAGTACTCAAAGCTCTTCTGACTCTTTGTCTTCCTGACATAGATGGATTCTGTGTTCTCTCACATTTTCCTCTTAATTCTCTTTGACCTGTCCATCTGTTTTCCTCTGCTTGACCTCGGCCGGGGCTTAGGAAGCCCAACAGTCTCGTGGGAAGCAGGCGGACTATTTTAGAGAGATCGCTGACTTGCAAGAAACATTGGAATGGAAAGATAAAAAGATCCGGGTACAATTACCTTCCATGGCCATTTTCCATTAATCATATCACAACTATTCTTTCTTTTGTATTTTAACACTTTTTAAAAATCTTTTTATTCCCTAAATAGTCTTTAGCTTGTGTAACTTATTAACCTAATAACTTGTTAAACAACTGAATGCTTGATACTGTGTCACATGACCCTTGTAGTCTTTCCAAACCGTATGTGTTCCCTTTACTCCTTTGTTCTTCCCTTTCTTGATTGTTGGCTTTTGCGGACGGCCACATTAAGGCCTTAGAGAGGCAGAAGAAATATTCAGACATTATCCATGATGAACGGGAGGCACTCAGGGACGAGGTTTGCCGGCTTAGGGATGCTCTGAAGGTAGAGATATAGAAGGAATACTGGCAATCACAGCAAAGATATAGAAGTCATTATATTAGCATATTTATTTTTTTACTTCAAAGGACCATAATAAAGTGATGGAATAAATGGAAGATTGACATCAGATTGTATTCTTTCACAGAAACATGGCATTGTGCTGGGATCTGAGGTGACCACCAATGGGGAGGTAGCAGACGGGACGATTGATGGGCATGCTGATGTGGAAGCAGCCTCCCGATTGAATCAAGACTCTCACATGTCCATTATGAGTGGAGACAGCATGTTAGGTAAGACAAACGGTTGCAAGAATTTTGTAACTCATAATCGAAGCATTTTAAACAAATCCGCTATTGCAGCTGATTTATATGCAACTTAATTGTAGTCAAATGATGACTATTTTGCAATTTTACAAAATTACAATTTAACTTTTATGGTGTTTTGTTGCTGCACATTTGCAATGTTTTATTTAATTGTAGAAACCATTACAAATATGCTGCAAGAAAAGCAAAAACTAAATTAAAACATTTAGTGAAAACTTAAAATAAATGAGACAAAACTAAGTGAAAATGAAAAAAAATTGTGTTAAATTAAATAAGGATAAAATAACTAAATAAAAAAAAATAACTGGAAAATACTGAAACTAACTGAAAAAGCAATCTCCAAAACTAGCTAAGATGAAATAAAAATGTCCACAAATTAATTTTATAGTCAGTTTTAGATACATGGTATTATACAACTTGAATCCAGCTGCACTGAACATGAAAATGCCACTATAAGTGCCACTAAAAAGTCTAGACTGTACTGAAAAAAAAATGCTATTAAACATCTTTAAATTATTCCAGTTAACATTAACTCAGTTAACAGCACAAACATATACAAATAAAATAAAATAAATTAAAAAAATATAGAAAAGTCTGAAAAAACACCTCTAAAACTTACAATGATAGAGTGAAAAATAATAAAAATGAAAAACTAAATAAAAATGCAAAACTGTAATAACTGTATAGATTAGAAGATCTAACATTAAATGAAAACGTTTTTGTTTCCAGTGCTCTTTGTAAATATTAAACTTGCTATTGTTTTTGATTAAATGTTGCTTGCTTCATTCCATTCTCAATATACCCAGAAATGTACATTTTTAGTTGTCAACAACAACAGAATCAATCTTTTTGTTATCCACATCTGAGGGTATCTCTGCTGGAATTATCTCTCCACTGATCAGCCTTTAATTCGATCAAGATCAACCATTTGCTTAACAAAATCAATCCAATTATTCTCAGTGCCATTCTGTTTTAATGGAATCGTAATTGTGATTCGCTCTTTGAATCCAATCAAGTGGTATTTTCCATCTGGCGTCTCATCTCATTGTCAGTAATGTTGCAGACAGAGCTTCAGAACGGCACATCAAGCACAGAGTCAGAGATTACTCAAAACTATGGTGAGACTGCACAGTTCAAGATGGTGGAGATAAATCTTTTTGGTGTCTTTCCTTTGTTAATCTATTAAATGAGGAACTGTATACTGAATGCATCCCCCAAAAAATAAGTTAAAAGAGAGGCTCTTTGTAAATATTAAACTTGCTATTGTTTTTGATTAAATGTTGCTTGCTTCATTCCATTCTCAATATACCCAGAAATGTACATTTTTAGTTGTCAACAACAACAGAATCAATCTCTTTGTTATCCACATCTGAGGGTATCTCTGCTGGAATTATCTCTCCACTGATCAGCCTTTCCTTTGTTAATCTATTAAATGAGGAAATGTATACTGAATGCATCCCCCAAAAAATAAGTTAAAAGAGAGAGGGCTACAAGCTCTTAGGCACAGAAACTGGACTGTTTGCAATCTGAAGTGATCCCAGAAATGTTCTCAGAATGTCAGAATGAAGGAGAACAGTGATCTGAAGGTGTCAAAACCCATTACTGGGGTCAATTATAGTATAAGAAATGTGGAGATAACAGACATTCAGAGGCCAAACAAAGATCTGTCCATCTGAGAATGAAGTCAGCACATTTAGTACACAAACGTTAACAAACTCTTATAAATGGGGAAATTCAGACACAGGAGAATCTTAATCTAAATCCTAACAAAGATAATTAAGTACATTTCTAGCTAACACAAGGTACAACGACCCTAAATTAATCAGAAATGGCAGTTCTCGGTAAAAGGTCAATGTACGTGGAGGAGGATTCCAACTCTCAATATTCAAAAAATCACAAGTCCAAATCTACTGACTGCTGATTTAACACCTCACAGGTAAAGTGCACACCAATTAATGTGAAGAACCTATAACTGCTGTTAAAACCAAACCAAACAGGTCAGAGGATGAAAGATACATTGATTCAAGTGCAGAAACTTCACCAAATGTGCCACTATAATCATTTAAACTTTAGAATCAGATAATATCTGAAATTACAGTATATGAACCACAGACCGGTTAAGCAGAGAAAAATAACTGCATAGAAATCAATGCTGGCATTAAAACCTCTAAAGATCTATGTTTGAACCCACAAAGTCTAATAAAGTGGATATTTTTATAACCACAGGAGACAATGATGCACAATCCAGGAGCCAGCAAAAGACAGAGGCTGAGCCAGAGTTACAGTTCGTGGAGGACACATATAGCATGCCAGTAGAGCACAAGGGCACAGCGTTCCTTCTCGATAGTTGTGAGGAAGCTGTTGCATTGGATGCTGCTCTTTTAGTGCCGGATGATGTAAATATGCATACCAGTAAACAGTATGTCACTGTGAGTGGACTGAGTGTAGAAAATGAAACACAGACATTCTTTAAGATCAAGCTTAAGATAAAGAGGATCTTTAGCTGCTTTGATTCATAATTTTTCACAGACTCATTTTGATTTGCTGATGTTTACGACAATGTTATTTTGATTTTTTTTTCTCAAGAATTTGATCTTATGATGTAATGTTGCATACGTACTTTAAATTTTCAGTGCAAATGAGACTAATCAAGACTTGTTTTGGGCATGCAAAAGCTGTTCATTTCTTTCAATGTTCTGAAATTAAAAAGCTTGATTTAAAAAAAAAAAAAACATTTTCTCATGGTAGACATATGCAATGCTATATGCGTAAAAATCCAAATGCATATACATTTAAATGCATTCATGCACTCATGTTTACCAATGCTGTAATTGTCGTCATACTTGTAATCACCACAAATAAAAAGCAAATATCAAAAACGTTTCATACACGTACAAATGTAATAATAATCATGATAATAATGATGATGATAATAATAATAATAATAACAACAACCCCATATACACATTTTCTATTTATACACAATGATATATTAATAATAAATAAAATATTATTAACATTTAAACATTTTTAATTAATTACATGATATCATTAAATTAATTAAATAATAAAACTGTAAAAAGACATTATAAAATGGCTATAAAAATTAAAACATTGTTTATTTCCTTATCATTTCTTATGACCACAGCAATCTACTTTGCAATCCAGCCATGCATTAGACAGATATTTATGGTCATGTTAATTGCACGTTAACTGCATTTTTTATAATTCATTGTAATAAATTAAAATGTTAAATTGACTGCTCCAATTTGTATACTTTGTGCTGCAAAATAAATTGTTTTGTTTTTAGTGCCTACATTGTCTCATTGTATGATATATTGCCCACTTTTTTTAATGAGGTTCATGTGCTGTACTGTACCTTTTTTTTTATTTGTAACTTTCAGAGATCAGATTGAGGAAACTGGTGGAAGAGAGAGAGTGTTTGCTCGACCAGGTGAGTTCCCTTTCAAGGGAACTTCGAACTGCGTCCTCTAGGGGTCGCTATGGGGAACGCCTTGTCGTGACCCGTGTCTGAAGCATACATTGAAAAAACACCAACAACACGTTGGCCGGCGACAGCCATGACGTAACTACCGGGGCTCGATCTCTATTCATATAATTATGGCGAGCACTAGCAAAGCGTTTAGAGGATGTGTGCATCCGTGTCGTCGTTATTTAACATCTGATGACACACATGATCCATGCGTTGTTTGTTTGGGTGAAGAGCATGCACACGATGTCCCCGAGGGGGCAATTGGCGTGCACTGCGAGCGTTTTCCAATGAAAAAGCTCCGCTCTCG